GTAGCTGCCGCTAATCTGATATGAAACTAGCTGAGAGTCTGTTTTCAGGAAGACATGATCGGCTTCCAGGGAGATGCACAATTCTAGGCCGGCGATTGCTGCCTCATATTCGGCTTCGTTGTTCGAGGCCTTAAAAGAAAATTTTAGTGCATACTCGAAGGATTTGCCTTCGGGAGAAGTTATCACTACTCCTGCCCCCGAACCGTTTTCGGTGGAAGATCCATCCGTAAACACGGTCCAGACTTTCTTTTCATTGTCTAGCGCTTCTTGGTATGAGCATTCGGCCAAGAAATCCGCTAGAGCTTGAGCCTTAATGGCAGCCCTCGGACGGTAGCTGATGCTGAATTCGGTGAGCTCCAAAGCCCACTTGGCTAGCCTACCAGATTTTTTAACCTTGCCGAGAACTTTTTCCAACGGCTGATCAGTTAAGACCACTATCTGATGGCAATAAAAATAGGGCCTCAGCTTCCGAGCAGCTACTACTACCGCGAAAGCGACTTTCTCGAGTAGAGGGGTAGCGAGTCTCGGCATCCGTCAGTGTATGACTGACAAAGTAGATCGGTTGCTGACTTTTGCTTTCTACCTTCAGCAGTACTGCACTGATGGTGGCTGGGCTAACGGCCACATACAGGTACAAAGTTTCTCCTTCTGCTGGGCTAGCCAGCGTTGGGAGTTGAGCCAGATGCTCCTGAAGCTGTTTAAAGGCGTCTTTTTGCTCTTCCTCCCAAACGAGCTCTTTTGTTTTCGGGAGTTTCAGGGATTTGAAGAAAGGTAACCCCTTATCCGAAGCTCTGGAAATGAACCTCGAGAGGGCTGCCATTCTTCCGGTGAGCCGCTGAACATCCCGCTTTGTTTTCGGCTCAGGAAGGTCGAGCGCTGCTTTGACTTTGGAGGGATTGGCGTCAATCCCCCTCTTGCTGACTATGAACCCAAGGAATTTCCCTGAATTCACGCCGAAGACACACTTCTTCGGATTCAGCTTCATTTGATGTTTTCTTAAGGTGGCGAAAGTTTCAGCCAGGTCCTTAACATGGTCCTCGGATTTTTTGCTTTTGACGATCGAATCGTCGACATAGACTTCCATGTTTCGGCCCTTTTGATCGGCGAAAACTTGATCCACCAGCCTTTGATAGGTTGCCCCCGCATTTTTCAATCCGAAGGGCATCATTTTGTAATTGTACACCCCAGCGTTCGTGACGAATGTCGTCTTTGCTCGATCATCGGGGTGCATGAAGATCTGATGATACCCCAAGAATGCGTCCATGAAACTAAGCAAGGCATGGCCACTTGTCAAATCGACTAGCTGATCGATCCTCGGCAAGGGATAGAAATCCTTCGGACAAGCCTTATTTAGGTCCGTGAAGTCAACGCACATCCTCCAGGTACCATTGGCCTTCTGAACCATCACCACATTTGCCAGCCATTCTGGATATTGGCAAGGCTCGATAAAGCCTGCCTCCAGCAATTTTTTGACCTCGGCTGCGATGTCTCGGTTCTTATTAGCGGAGTAATTCCGCTTCTTTTGCTTAATTGGTCGACACGTTGGGTCAACATTAAGCTTATGGGAGATGAGGTCTGGACTTATCCCGGGCATATCAGCTGCCGAGAAAGCAAACACATCTCTGTTGTCCCGAAGGAGATGAATAAGTTCACAACGGGTGTTCGGATCAAGGTCCATCCCGATTGTTACACATTTCTCAACGTCTCCTTCGGCCAACTCAACTGTTTCAGTCTGTTGGTCCGTGTCCATTGCTGATGGACTGGACTCTTCAGAATCTAGCCTGCTGCCTATGTCAGCAGGTGTCCCAGTCTTTTTGTTCTTCGGTTGGCTCTCTGAGTCTTGCTGTTCAGCTGAAGAGCTAGCCTTTTCCCTTTCGGGCCCTTTATCTCTGGGTACAGATCCTTGGGCCGAAGCTCTTAGGCCTTTCGCCTTTTTTGTGCTTGGCTCTCTTTCTTTTTCTTTCTCCTCCTCATCCTTGTCGTCATCTGGGCGACTACTGGATGGCTTGAGGTAGTTGCACCTTCGGGCGTCCTTTTGGTTTCCCTGTATCCATTCGGGGAAGCCAGGGTCTGAGACGTAAATCATCAGCTGATGATAAGTTGAGACGAACCCTTGGATCTCATGAATTATGGGTCTCCCCAAAATCACGTTGTACACTGAAGGAGCGTCAATGACAAAAAATTCAATCATGACGTTCCTGGCTGCCTCATCGCAGCCGATGGTGATAGGAAGTGTCACCTTCCCATCTGGATAAGTTGAAGCCCCGTTGAACCCGGATACCGGGTAGGGTACCGGCGTAAGGTGCTTGGGCTTCAACTTGATTTGATTGTAGGCCTTTCGGAACAGAATGTTTGCTCCGCTGCCACCGTCAACAAGAACCTTACTGACGTCGTGGTTGGCCACCGTGGCGATGATCACCAACGGATCCTCGTGAGGGAACGTTACCCCCGGCAGTCGGCGGCTATGAACGTCATGTTCGGCACCGGCGATTGGGGATACTGAATGTCAGCGTTGTTCACCTGGTGAGTCCAAGCCCTAAGGTGTCGCTTGTGCTCCCTCCGAGAGCATATTCCTCCCGAGATAACATTAATCGGAGAGAATTTCCCCTCTGGCTTTTTACTGTTCTTCCGGGGGAAGTCGAGGTCCTGCCGAGAGTCCTTTGCTGACTTCTCGGACTCTTTTTTCTCGCGGTGATCCGCGATGTATTATTTCAAGTATCCCTTCCGGACCATGTCCTCTATCTGGTCCTTCAGTTCGATACACTCCTCAGTGTTGTGTCCCGGAGATTCGTGGAACTCGCACCACTGATTTTTATTTTTTCGCTGATACCACTCTGGGAGTGGTCTCGGCTTTCGGTAACTCTGCTCCTCCTTCGCCACGCTGTAAATTTTGGCGCGTGGAAGAGAGAGCGAAGTGTAGGACTCGTATCTGCCTGTGTATGAGGCAGATTTTTCCTTCTTTGGGTCGCTGACCGAAGATTGCTCCGAGGCCTTTGACTTTCCCTTTGCCTTATGGCCTTGGCCTTCAGACAAGGGTATTTGTTTTTGTTTCCCTCCCCCGAATTGAGGTTGAGTTTTCGCTTTGTTCCATTCTTCGGCTCGGATGAACTTATCCGAGGCATTCAGAGCTTCCTCCAAGGTCTGCGGGGTATGCATGACCATGAAGTCTAGGAACTTCCCGGGCTGAAGGCCATTCTGCATTGCAAAAACGGCTAGCCCCTGGTCCAGCTGAGAGACGCTGGATGACTCGTTACTGAAACGGGTCAGATAGTCTCGGAGGCTTTCGGTTTCCCCCTGTTGCAGACTCATGAGTTCTGCAGTAGTCTTCTCTCGGCGGTTTGCCGTGGAAAACTTGCTCCTAAATTTGGAGGACAGATCATCCCACCCTGTTATGGAGCTTTGCTTTACTCCCTTGGAGATCCACGCTTGCGCGACCCCCTTGAGAGTGGTTGGGAAATATTTGCACCAAGTCGCTTCGGATCTGGGGCAAAGATGCATATGAGTCTCATACGAGGCCACGTGGTCCTTCGGATCCGAGGTCCCGTCATATGTGATGTGCGACGGTATTTTAACCGTGGGCACGTGCTCTTCCAGTATCCATTGCTCGAATGGCGAACTAGCGGGTAGCATAACGGCCTTGCCCTTGTTCCTGGCCGAAGGGACCGCGCTCCGCCCTCTTAGAGAGGTAGGAGTGGTTTTCGTCCCTGGCTGGGAAGTCTGGGCCTCGGCCGCAGGGAACGAGAGGCGACTGTGCACGCTCGGTTCCTTGTCGCCGAGTCGGTCGAGGACGTTTCGGCGAACAGTCTCAGGTTGTTCTCGGTGAGTAGATTCTGGCCGAGAAGCTGAGCTGCTGCTCTTATGCGTTTCTGGTCGGGAGGTTGAGGATCCTTTGAAAAATCGAGGGTTCTTTTTCCTCTCTTTTTCAGTTTTCCAGGTATCCTCTTCCCACTCTTCCAGTTCCCGGAAGGAAGGAAGCTTCCCAACATCATGGTCTAGCTTCCTCCGTTGATGCCGGGTATGCGGAGGAGTTCGATCACGAGGTGGTGGCATATTTTGTGCCCTCATTGCCTCCATGAGCACTGCCAGCGCTCTTGCCACCTCCTCCGAGCTGGGCCCCGTCAAAGGGGTCCTCGTCCGAGTATGGGAATGAGAGCGCACAGTCGATGGTTGGCTTTGGGGCACTGAATGTGTCCTATGATCGGACTCACCCCTGCTAGACCGAGAGTGACTCGGCCTATGATGAGAGTTATGAATTACGGGAGAAAGGGAATCCTCCCTGTATGATCCTCCCCCCGAGCTGGCACCCTTGGGAGAGTTCCGGTCCGGCGAGGGTGATGGTGTAGGGGTTTTAGGCTTTTCGCCTGCTCCTTGACGGAGGCCTTTGCTCTTGCGGTTCTTAGCCATTGCTACTAAGATAATTGCAAGATGATCTTGGTTAGAAATTTGGCTTAAAGATTTTTGAAAGTCCTCCCCACAGACGGCGCCAAATTGTTTCGGGTGAAAACAATGGGACCTTGTCGAAGGTCCGATGAAGTGGAGAAGACTGGATTCGGTCCAAGTGATGTTGGGCCGAAGGTTTCCTGCACAGTAAACACACGTAAACTAGCCTCGGGGGTGTTGCCGAGGAAGGCCCCTCCGATGCTAAAGTCAGTACAGTGTGTAGAAAGAGAACACTATGCAAGAGAATTAATTGCTTGAGGCTTTGCTTGAATGAATGTACAAATGTAATATTGATGGCTTTTATACCTTTGCATGTATGGAGAAGTTGGGCCTTAGCCCAATTGGCTTGCCTTGAGGACTGATCTTTGACTTTAGCACAATTGGAGAGATGAACCTTGACCTTGGGCTTTTAATTGGATCATTTAATGCCTAGGCCCAATTGGACTAAATTGGACCCAAACATTAGTTATGATTATTAAAAATTGGACCAATTGTTCTTCGAAAACAAAAATCAAATTTATCAAAAAAATTGATTAATCTAAAAGTAATTTGAGTTTAAAACAGACTATAGATCAAGTGAAATGAACCGGGGTCGAAACGAAATTTGAAATAGTGGTGTGTCGTGCCAATGTCCTTTGTTGCATAAGCCTTTACCGACAATTGTTTAAACTTGTAATCCTTGTATAACTTGGCAAGCAAAATGTTAAAAAGTAATACTCGTAAAAAAAAAAAAAAAAAAAATCTATCTACATTCTCAAGTCTCAACCTTCTCTTCCGATCTTCAGCCACCCTCCCGCCACCTCTCCTCTCCAAATTCCCCGCATTTTTCTCTTCAATTTTCATCTTTAACAATAATTTAAGCTTCTTAAATACACTCTAATTTCTAGGGTTTTTCTCTCTCCTATATCCTCCGATCTACTCATCTTCTTTCGCATCATTCATCAATTCTTAATGAAATTGAGGTAATTTTATTGAATTTTTGGTATTTAATTGTCTTCCAAATTTCTGTATTTTTTTTTTGTAATTTTTTTTTTTGAATTTTTGGCGCAGATGTTTGATTAGGGATTGAAGAAAAATTGGGGAGGGATTAGGTGGGAGGGGATCAAATGGGGTTTAGTTTGAGGAGTTGGAGTGGGAGAAAGGAGCAAAATGAAGGGGAGAAAGAACGAACAGCTGTATATTTGAATGTATATGATCTAACCCCTGTTAATGATTATTTATATTGGGTTGGTCTTGGTGTTTTTCACTCTGGAATTGAAGGTATATTATCTTACTTATGCTATTTTATTTGATATATTATAAAGTTTTAGTATATTGGGTTTAAGTTACTGTTTGGACTGTGATTATTGGTATTGTGCCTTTGAATTTACTTTCTTGTTATGATTCTTATGAACTGTAGCTAGGTAACATATCTTTGAGGTGTTAGTTAAATGGTTAATGATGGTTTGGATTTTGTGCGTTCGTCTGTCGTTTGGTGGTCTCTTTGTGAAGTGTGATCATACTCGCGCTGTCGGATTTCTGAATCACTTATGATGAAGGATATGAGATCATTTAAGTGAAAGACCCTTGATAGTATTTGTTTAAGTAAGGATATTATAAGAAATCCAATTGTATATCTTTACTTTATGGTTGTTGTTCCCTTGTTTTCATCATTGGATGTAAGTAAGGATATCCTAAGAAATCCAATTATGTATCTTTATTTTATTTGAGGATCTTTTTCTGATTTTCTTGAAATTATATATGGAGTACTTCATTTGTTTCTAGTTATTACTGCGAGTGGTTTCCGTTATTTTGTACCTGAATTTGCTAGGATTATATATGTGTAATACCTCTGATTGCTTGAAGCTTTGATTGAGAATTAAAGTGTCTAGGATTTTTCATGATTTTCAATCTGAATTGATGTTTTGTCCTTCTAATTGTTCGGAAAACAGGCAAGGATATGTTTAGAGCAAAATTTTATGAGATAGATGATATTTTATGCAATAGATGATATTTGATGATATTTTATGCAATAGCATAGTTTAAAAATAGATTATCATGTAAGAAATTATTAAGTTTAGTTTAATTGTACCTGACAGGAAGTTCATCACAAATAGGGAACTTAACTAACAATTGATCCTATATACAATAGAAGTCCATTACAAAATGCTTTAGCTGCAAGCCTGCAATGCACCATTAAAGGAAATTTGATCTGTGGCTAAAGTATGTTTGGCATACAAGCTTTAATAAATTAACAGCTGATTCTGCCACTCATACACCTTGGATTGCTAGTCACTACTTTTGAAATCTGCCTAATCATGTGCTTCTACTAGCTTAGATCTTAGTCTTTGAGATGGTGGCTAATAAAGTTTCCTGTGATTTAGTCGTACAGGCTAATAACTTGTTTTGCCAAATGGTTTTTATCTTTTGGTACTTTTTGTTGCTCAATTTTTTATTTTTAACAAATCTATGGTGTATTTGGCATTTGGAGACTTAGATATGGAATTAATATACTTAGATCAAACTTTGTAGGAAAAGCAGTGTTTAAGTGTCCAATGCTTTTTATGAACTTTTATATACTTGCACTTGCATCTGTTCTTAGCTCATATCTTTATCTTTGCATTGCACATTTCTTAATTGATATGCTTAGTAACTGACACCTTGTTAATTTCATTTTGTTCAGCATGCAATCAACAAGTCCCTTTTAATCAGATCCACAGTTCAAAAATGAATTAAGAATATACTTCCTGTGTTCTTTTTAAGATGACAGGTTTCTTTTATCACGTATGCCAATGCACAAATTCAATAATTTATTTCTCTAATTATCAACAAGTAAAAATTATAAAAATTTAATATTCTAAAAATGTACACTGAGACAATTCAAACAAGATCCCATGTGATTATGTTTTTATCATAAGTTCATAGCCTATATATTACAAAAGCTAGTCAAAGTAGAATATGTGAATAGTGTCCAAAGTCAAAACGTGTTAACTAAAATAGAATGGAGGAAGTACGCTGTCTTGGTGTGATTTGGTAGAATTTCTATCTTTTGTTTGATGTGTTAAAATACGTGGATGACTAGATTAGCAAGCAACATACTGATCAAATGTCTCAAAGTGCTGGTTTAATGTCATCTGATGTGTTCATTGACCTTTATTAATGGAAGATTTTTTCACATAAGAGATGACTTACTGATTTTTTTTTTTTAACAACACTAGATATTCTAAAGTTATTTCCTAGTCTGACTTGCTGTTTTATAACCTGATAGTACAATCTCTTTTTTGGTCAAGGGCAGAGTTGATCAAATTTATGGGTAAGGAATAAGAATAGTTTTCTTGAAAGAATGAAGAATAGAAAAACTCAGACTGTGCTTTCTATGATGAATTGGTCACTGAAGTATCATAAATTTGTTTCTTTCCTCTAGTCTATTGTGTTACTGTAGTGAAATTCAGCTTTTTGAAGCAATGGCTAGTTTAATTATTTGAGGAACTTTTCTGGTTAAGAAATGTAAGCTATCATGGTGAACTAATGCAGTGTATAAAAAGGACTCAAGGCGCACCAAGGCATTTCAGAGTTCCCTGCGCCTAAGGCGTGCCTCTGTGCGCCTCATTGAAGTGAGGTGCATATAATAAACAATAAAAAAAGTTCTGAAAAAAATCGTTGTGCACCTCAGGGGGTGCGCCTTAAGCTGCACCTCATCAAAATCGCCTCGCCTAGACCTCAAAAAGCGCATGACCTTTAACGCCTTGCTCCTCAGCATCTAGGTGCGCCTTTTCAAACACTGAATTAATAAAGTGTTTACTGTGATGTATTACACTACTTAATTTATGAAAAGTTTAAAGAGAATAGTAGAAATTCATTTTATTATATTTATTTTCCCTAGATTTTAGTATATCTTAATTAATACTCAAAGCTGTTAACAACTTGCTGAAAGTAATACTGGTAGAACCGTAGAACAATATGTAATATCACCCCCCCACCCCCCCCCCCCCCTCTTTTTTTTTGCAAGAGCGCTGCACAGCCTGCACCATTCCATTTTCTACACTATGCTTTAACGTAGAGGCAACTTTGGTAATGATATGAATTTTATTTATACAAGGCTTACTGTGAATTTTATCATAGGAAACATGGATGAAGAGTAGCCTGCCTTTGATGAGGTCAGGTTGTAAATATGTAGGCAGTTTCTTATGCTCAGACTTGTCAGAGGACTGAGTGAGATAATGTAATTGATTAGCCTAGGTGGAGGGGTACTATTGATAAGATTATGTTAGTTGGTTTGGATAAGCTTAATAAAGAAGGCAGTGAGTTTGTTAGAGGTGAGAATGAGAAGGAAGTTAGAAAATGCCTATATGCAGAGATCAATGAGAGGGAAAATAAGCAGAAAAGTGTGACTGAATTTTGTTTAGTTTGATTTGCTTTTAGTGGGAGTGTCCAGCCACTTGAAATTGAATGTATTGAGATTCTAAACAAGAAAGTAAGCAGAAAATTGTGATTGAATTTTGGTTTATTTTGATTAGCTTTTAGTGGGAGTGTCCAGCCTCTCGAAAGTGGGATTGTAAACTTCATGTGATGACTTAATTGCATCAAATTACAATCTAATATCAAGTTTATAGGACAAAACCTGTCTGGTAAATAGTGAGGATAAAACACAAATTGTGGTAGTTGTAAAGCTTGCAGGCAAGATGCTAAAACAGTTCCTGCATAAGTTGACTTCTTGATGGTTATTTAGAGAGAATTAAACTGGAATTTGGAGTATAGTTTTATTGTGAGGAAACTGGATTTTCCATAGCTAATTGCTAAGTTGCGTAAAGAGGATCTGTGGTTTATTTTGTGTTTTTCTAACATCTGGTATGGATCCTTGTATTACAAGGTGAGAGTAGCCTAAATTTTTTTGCAACTTCATCATTTAGAATGATCTAGAAATTTATTTGTGGTTAGGTATAGATGTATAGCGTCTTGCCTGGTTTAGGTGGAATCTGCTGTCTTTGGCAATTGTAAATATCTATTTTTTTTGGGACCTGTGAATCATTTCTTCTGAGATGGCATGTATCTTATGCTGAATTGTTATCTTTTTTAATACATGGATCCTAATGTAAAGCTTGAATGCAGTACATGGCATGGAGTACGGTTATGGAGCTCATGAGTATCCTACTAGTGGTGTGTTTGAGGTGGAACCAAGGAGCTGCCCTGGATTCATATTCAGAAAGGCTATACCTCTCGGCAGCACAGACATGTCACGGACAGAATTTCGATCGTTCATGCAGGGCCTTGCCTCAAAGTATCATGGGGACGCATATCACTTGATTGCTAAAAACTGTAACCATTTTACTGATGAGGTCTGTTTGCATCTCACTGGGAGATCTATTCCTGGATGGATTAATCGACTCGCTCGTGTAGGTATGTAACCTTTTGCCTGCCCTATGCATTACCTTAAAGGCAGTATACAATATGTGTAAGGTTCTAGAATATACATCCTCTGAATTCTGTTTCAAAATAATTGCAAGTTTGCAACTCTTTAGTTTGCACTATTCGTATTCTAATTTTGTCCACATATTTTACTAATTTATTGAAAGCAAATGTTATCTAAGAATGTTGTTGAATTAGTTCCATCGTTTTATGTTCATTATATCAACTTTTTATATATGTTTTAGTTTTTTTTACTAATCAAAGATATATATTGTCAAACATGCTAGTAAAAACATGTTGCAATATTTTGAAATAGAGGAAGTATGAAGTACCGTCCTTGAAGTACGTAGGCTCTGAAAATTAAGTGATAGTCATATGGATGCAATATTATCAATTTCATTTAAAAAATCTGTAATTTTTCCTTTGTCTAAAACAATTCTCCTTAAGCTGCAGGTTCGTACTTCAATTGCCTTTTGCCAGAAAATATTCAAATAGCAGCTGTTCAACAGCATCCTGATCACATTGCATGCTCAGGTAAAGCGCTCAGATTCTTATGATTCTGGCCCATATTCTTTTGAATTTAGGTACATAACTAATTTAACCAAAATTTGATGTAGAGGAAATCTAATTGATTAACATTATAGTAGCTAAGATACATTGATCTATTGATCAAGAATTAATGACATAATTGTTCGGAAGAATTTGATTTATTGACTTACATGCAGTCAACCTTTGGCTTTGATATTTATTTATTTTTGATGCATATATATTAATGCTGACAAACATACCAATTACCAATGAGTTCGAATTTTGTGGTGGCTTTTTAGATAGTGGAGATGTCTCTAAATGAGTTAAGTGATAATACTTGATGTCTATTGATGTTATGCTTCTAGATGCACATTCTCATTTCCTGTCTTGCTGTTTAGTTTAGACTTTTTTACGTAAACTGATTTGGGTTGTGGATCATCAGAGAATGGATCTGGCTCTCCATCGTCATCTGCATCAATTGACAGTGAAGAGGAGGTGGATGATCCTGAACATCATTTGCTGACTACTCCTTCAGCAGATGTAGCATTTTTGCAGGCGAAACCAGTTAGAATCACCAGAGAGATGGTGTAGAATTTTTTTGTCCCCCTTTATTCACCCTCGATTTCAAAATCTGTCTTAGGTGTTATATGTTGTAAAATTAATCTATGCTCGCAAATGTACCATAGAACATATATACACTCATTTGATTGTTTGTGTAACCTCGTAAGATAATGTGCTCTATTATGCTACGAGGATGATAGGTATTCATGCCTTCCGCATCTGCATCTAAAATTCTAAATAGGTTACTTACTAGCAAGACTCCCATTGTAAAATATCCTTGTACTAGAACTTATGGGATCAAAAGTCTTTCATGAATACATGAATGATTTTAAAGTCTTTCAAGTATATGCGCATATACTGGGAAAAAATATACTAGTACTAGTATATCCAATTATCCACTGATATATATGATGGCGGTAAAACGAACTCTGATTCAATTTGAAGGTTTTTTTATATTTTATTTTTTATTTAATTTCTTTTTATCCAAAGATTAATTTCTACTCCGTACCTTTTTTTCTTATAAAGAAAAGATTAATGTCTACCTCCTATTGAATTAATGTCAGATATTCATTTTTTTGCCTCAATTTGAATTATTTAGGTTGTACTTGTACTCCGTAAGATTGCAAGTGTTATATATATAATCTGTAAGAGCAATTTTCTCCTTTTGTGTGTCGTGCATTTGAATCAATACTACATCCATAGTACATTAGTAGTATAATACTCTTTACTTTTCCCTTAAAATAAATTGAGGTGAACAAAAGTGTTTTTTTTTTTTTTTTTTGTTAGATAGTTGAAATACAATTGACAACTAATGATAATGAAAACAAAATTAACAAAATCATGTAAATATTCATTTTCACAATATATTAATTTTTTTGAGGAAAATTTCACAGTATAATTTTTAGTGTGTTGTTAAAAAAAGTCTTCAAAAAAAAAAAAAAATATTTACTATCAGATATTTGTCATTTCAGATAACAACAATAAATGATAAATGTGGTCAAATAATAATAAGTTCTCAAATGTGAGAAACAACGAGCAGTCATGCACCAATACTCTTATAGGGTTATATACATTTTTTATTATTAATTTGTGTTGTAATTAGCCAGAATTTTTTTTTTTAATGATTAAGAAAATATAAATAGAGTTACAAATACTGTATATAATAATATAATATAGTATTATTATTATTATATCTTTCAATCAGCTAAAATTTCTTATAATAAAGAGTGGTATATATGGGGGAAGAAGATGATGTAATTGCCTCACACTCTCAATTCCATGTTAAACCCTTCTCCGATCTTGTTTCAGGTATTGTTTTTCAACTATATATTTATAATAATTCTTTTACTGTTTCTATGTTATTCTATATATGATGATATTATTACGTACTTACTGACTTACATAGTACTTTAATTTATTAGGAATTGTATGAGTTTAATAAGTGACACTTTTATTTTTGGTGTATTTTTTTAGGCCTGTATTTTCAACATTATTGTTTAATGAAGTTATGATTTACATTGATCATCAAATGATCATTAATTTTAATTTCGGCTTATTTTGAGTTAATCTTAATCTCCATACATGTTGTTTACAAAGGAATTGAATTATTAACGTGGAGAAAAGATGATTCTATAGTGGTTGGCAATTTTGGCACTATAGCACAACATTACGAGTCTATAAAAAAAATTATAATGATCGATCCAAAGTATAATTTCAAAGAATTCAATAATCGTTGATTGATGCATCAATACTAAAAATTGATAAGTACTAATAGGGCAATGTTTAAAACCAATGTATACTGCCTGAATAGTGAATATATCCTAAAATGGTTTTAATTTAAGGATGTATGATGATAAAAACACGCAATCGGTGTAATCAAGCTTATCTATTCCAAATCTTTTTTTAGCATTTTCCTACTTTAGGATACGAGATGGGACTATGTGAGTAATAAATTTTGAAAAACGGATAAATTTTTGTATATATATGCATTCTAGCTCAATTAGGTTATGGATAATTTTGAAATTATGGCATAAATAACATGTATCAATTCTCTAATATGGGTTATATACATTTTGTCAAATAGTAATATATCAAATGTGAGAGATAACATGCATCAATAAATTGATGTGGGTTATATACATTTTTCTATCTTGTGCTGTAATTGGTAAATATAGATAGGTTGTTACAAAGTTTTTAATACTAAGTATATTTAAATCAGCTAATTAGTAGTATATAGTTTTATTACGGATTAATCAGGAGTTAATAGAGAAAATATGGGGGAAGAACACTCTCATTCTCATGATAAACCCTTCTCTGATCATGTTTCTGGTATTATTTTTCTACCATTAATATTTAGTTCTTCATGTTTTTCTATGATATTATTAGAGATTACACGTGCCATTAATGTTATATCTTTATGTTTTTCATATGATATTATTAAGGATTATAAGTGTTTGATATTTTCTTCTTGATGTAATTTTTAGTGTTTAAAAAGTTATGATTATTAGAGAATATACGTGCCATTAATTTTTAGTTTTGTTATATCTTTATGTTTTTCATATGATATTATTAAGGATTATATGTGTTTGATATTTTCTTCTCGATGTAATTTTAGTGTTTAAAAAAAGTTATGATTTACGTACAATAATAATCATCAAATCATTTGGCACTCTAGGTATATATCAACCCAATAAATTAGATAGTAAGTATCCGAATATTTTAACCAACAAAACTAGTTAATCGACTTATATGGTTTTTATCAATCGAATGTTGTTAGAGTAGATACATGTGACAAATTATATAAATAAGTTACTTGATACTCCTAGCAAGTAAAAATACTACAGAGGAGGTTCGAAAATTATGTTGTCCATTATTTTTTTATACATGTTTTTGTATTCATTTGTCTTACAAAATGATCTCTAATAGAATTTATGTGAATTACAAATTAAGAGGCTCAAAGGAATTATTTGTGAATATATATACATTTTACGTTGAGCAATTTTAGCCAAGACAATCTTACATACAGTATATATTTTTAGATGTTTATTATGATCCTTAAAAATGTGATTATAATCATACAAATTATTGTATTCTATATAGTTTATGCTTTACTTTCATATCATATAGCTTATATTTAATTTATGTTACGAGCAATTTGGAGAGGAGAAAATATGGTTTATGAGGTTGGTAGTACCTCCTACTCCAATGCTCAGGAAAGCAATCACTCGTCGTCTTTTCACATAGATACCGGTATTCACATCTCGTTCTTAATATTTATAAACTTCTTCAATTATAAAATGCTTGTACGATTTTTCATGGTTTTATATTATCATTCACCCAAAGTTTTTTATAGGTTACATTTGGTTTTGTGGTCAAAATATGTACATACGCCCCTGTTTCTTAATAAATGCATCGCTTTAGCTTTTAGACAAGTCAGAATCATGCATATTTTAGTACATGTAAGTACATAATCCTATTAGCTGAAGCTGACTATATATTTTATTTTCAGAGAAAGAAGATATCAACGACAATCCAATAGAAGAAGTGAGGCTAACAGTTCCCATAACAGACGATCCAACACTTCCTGCACTAACATTTCGAACATGGGTATTAGGCCTTGTCTCCTGCATCCTGCTGGCCTTTGTGAACAAATTTTTCGGGTTTAGACAAAACCCGTTGTCTGTATCATCAGTAGCAGCCCAAATTGCTGTTACACCAATAGGAAGGCTAATGGCTGCCACATTACCTACAACACCTATCTTTATACCCTTGACAAAATGGTCCTTTTCTTTGAATCCAGGACCTTTTAATTTGAAGGAGCATGTTTTGATAACCATTTTTGCTAGTTGTGGTGCTGGAGGTGTTTACGCTACTCATATTATTGCCATTGTCAAGGCTTTTTATCATAGAGACATGAGTCCTGTTGCTGCCATTTTGCTCGCTCTTACTACTCAGGTATATATATCCATATCCCATATTATAAGCTAGTTTGTGATTGATTTGTGGCTTTTCGCGTAAATTATTTACATGTTTAGGATTATGTTCATATTAAGAGTAATGTGATCTTAGAATATGTACTAATGTACGCTCCTCCTTAGGTAGCCAATCAACAAGTCAGTCTAATGGTCATAAAATCGCGTTAATGTTGATTATTGAACGTAATTTTTGACTTTTTCTATGGAGTTTGATGTATATGAATAATGTTATTGACTTTATCTAACATTGTTGCTTTATAATGGTTGGTATTATGTAGTTGCTTGGGTATGGATGGGCTGGTCTATTCAGAAAATACCTAGTCAACTCCCCGTATATGTGGTGGCCATCAAATCTGGTCCAAGTCTCTCTTTTCAGGTTTATATGCTAATTCTATAACATAACATAAACACCTTAATTCTATAATATGATGAGGATTGCTAGCTAATTGTGTATGTAATGATCTTATTTAATTAAAAGGACCTTACACGAACACGATATAAGGACTAAGGGAGGACTGACTAGACTACAATTCTTTCTCATGGTTATAGCTACAAGCTTTGCCTACTATGTTGTCCCTGGCTACCTCTTCCCTTCGATTGGATGTCTTTCGATCCTCTGTTGGTTATGGAAGCGTAATATATTTATGCAGCAGATGGGCTCAGGACTTCATGGACTTGGGATAGGAGCTTTTTCTTTTGATTGGAATGCTGTGATAAGTTTCTTAGGAAGTCCCTTATCGACCCCAAGCCATGCCATCATAAATACTATGGCCGGGTTTTTCTTAGTAGCGTATCTGATTGTTCCTGCTGCTTATTATTCAAATGTATATGAGGCTAAGAGGTTTCCATTTATTTCCTCTAGTACTTTTGATCATACTGGCCATATGTACAATGTTTCTCGAGTCATGGATAAAAATACATTCAGCTTGGATATTAAGTCTTACAATAGTTATGGCAAGCTCTACCTCAGCATCTTTTTCGCCCTTACCTATGGACTGAGCTTTGCTACACTTTCAGCTACGATCTCACATGTCGCTCTTTTCCATGGAAAGTGAGTCATTTTCTGATGACTTCAGATTTTTTGCTTAGTGAATTTTACTGATTAAAACTGATTTTTGCCTATAACAACGGGTGATAACATTTAAACCAATTTTATGTTGTTGAAAAACACGAGTGCAGGTCAATTTGGCACTTGTGGAGCCAAACAACTTCAGGGAAAAGTGGTGAATTTTCTGATGTACATTCCAGAATAATGAAAAGAAACTACACACAAGTACCTCAGTGGTGGTTTCACATACTATTAGCCGTTACATTCGCCCTATCTTTGCTTGCTTGCGAAGGCTTCTCTAAACAGCTCCAACTCCCATGGTGGGGGTTGATAATGGCTTGTGGAATTGCTGCCTTTTTCACCTTACCAATTGGCATCATAACTGCTACAACAAACATAGTATAAATCTGACTGCTCCCTGCATTTTACAAATTTTTTTTTAGTGAATTTTCAGTGAAGTGTGAGTTTATAAAAGCTCGTCTAATTGTTGTTATTTTGCTTCTTGTTTGTTTAGACACCTGGTCTTAATGTGATAACAGAGCTGATCATCGGATACATATATCCGGGGCGCCCCCTTGCTAATGTTGCATTCAAGACATATGGTTATATTAGTATGACACAAGCACTTTGGCTCCTTCAAGACTTTAAATTAGGACACTACATGAAGATCCCTCCTAGATCTATGTTCATTGTCCAGGTATGCATTCAATCGAATTCAATTACGGATTTACAAAGTATGTAGTTTTGATTTTTTGAGGTTCAGATCATATCCTGTTTTCCTGGTTTGACATTTAATTTTAGGCCTAATTTTGACAATTTTTTACATAAAAATGTATCAGCTAGTTGGAACTATTGTAGCATCTTTGGTCTACTTTGGGACAACATGGTGGCTCCTTTCAACAGTCGACAACATTTGTAATGTATCATTGCTTCCTGACGGGAGTCCTTGGACATGTCCAGACGAAGAGGTTTTCTACAATGCATCGATCATATGGGGAGTCATCGGTCCTGCCAAAATGTTCACAAGCCGCGGCAACTACCCACAGTTGAACTGGTTATTCCTCATTGGATTTCTTTTGCCTGTTCCGGGATGGTTTCTATCGCGCAAGTACCCTCACTTAAAATTCTTTAAGCTCATAAACATACCTGTCATCGTATCAGCAACGATGATGATGCCACCTGCTCGGTCTATCAATTACTTGACATGGGGAGTTGTAGGATTCTTCTTCAACTACTATGTTTACAAATCATACAAAGGATGGTGGGCGAGGTACAACTATATATTGTCTGCTGGTTTAGAAGCAGGCATTGCTTTCATGGGAATACTGCTTTACTTCTGTCTGCAAACCAAGGATATATTTGGTGTTCAATGGTGGGGTTTAGAACAAGACGATTACTGCCCGCTTGCTAAGTGTCCTACTGCCCCAGGTGTTCGAGTTGAGGGATGTCCTGTTCTAGGATAGTATGATTTTTGGTGATAGTGAAAGTAGAAGTATAATTTGCAGAAAATGTCAAGTGTATATCTATGTTAGATGATTAAGATTCTCTCTAGTATCTAGACAGTCTAGTTAATACAATACTTAATTAATAGAAAGATTAAAGGGTGCATTTGGGATTGGATACAGTTTTCTTTCATTTTTGAAATTTTCCTGTCACTCATTCGAGTAATTGGATGGTCGCTTCTTGTGTATATATTGGACTAGACAAGTGAAATGAATTTTGTAGCGCTAACTTGCAAACAATTATCAATTTCATGGATATATCAAGGAGAATGCCTTCTGAATTTTGCAATAGTTGAGTGTTAACTGTGATAGCAAGAAGGGTAAGAAAATAAACATGTTTTCTGCCGTAACGCAAAGGGAAGCGTAAAGTTGTTGATCATAAGAAGTCATAATTCAAGGAACAAATTATGCAAATAAGCTAAATCAGAATGATTAGTAGCTTAACTTAGATTTTAGATTAACCATCAGTGTTGGAAACCTCATTGTGCTTAATCTTTCTGTTACTTTTGCTAATCACCTACTGTAGTTTTATTCCCAAATGCAATACTCAACTACTAGATACTCTCATACTCCTGTATTCCTTTCAGTCTTAAATTTATTGTTGGACACCATGACAATACGTACGAATTGAATTGTCATATAACAATATAACTTGTCATGTAAATAACATATAAACTCGTAAAGATCAATAACTTGGATTATATAACCTTCAATTTCGCTGCAAAGTGAGGTATACGTAGTATACAAATTAATACAAAGCAAGTCATGACTCATGAGACGTTGGCTGACAACTGAATGCGGTCATGGCATAGTTGGGCATACGAACATAAGATCTTGTGATTATCTTGGAGAAGATTCAGAGTTGAAAGCGTTCTGCTTTAGTACTTCAAATGGATTAAAGCATAACCAACTATTTTCCAAGTCCATAGAAATTATTTACTCTTTTGATTCTCTATTTATATTACTGTTGTATGTGCCGAAATATTTCTTTTGATAGGTTAGCCAATAAATTGAAAATAAGAGTTTAAGAACATTCTTAAGTTTTGTTAAAACTGATTGAGGCAACCTCTCTGAAACTAGAGTCAAAAATTAATGGTAAAAATTGATCACAACAATACTAACTATGGCCTAGATATACATAACAAAACAGCCTAACGTGGGTGTATATGGTAATGCCGTAAGCCCCACACGATTAATTTGCTCTTTATATGAAGTATGAGTTATATCAATTAGCTCCCCAGCCCCAGCCCAGGGCCTTTAAGATTACAAGTCCAGTAGAAGATTGTGAAAAAGATAAGATACTTTAGTGGAAAAATAAGAGACACCTACTCCAATTATTTGATTGATTACCAAATCAATAATAATAACATAACATAATACTAAAACAGACACCGGGAGTGACACGTGTCACTTCCTGGTGTTGTATTTTCCCTCCAAAATCGTTTTCTCCTTTTTTTTATTTATTTTTTTATTACTTTTTATTGTAAATATACTTTACACATATTCATCAAATCATTTAATTGTGATTCACTTTCCCAATATATATATATATATATATATATATATATATATATATATATTTGTGATTCACATGTTTTCCATTATTATTATTATTATTATTATTATTATTATTATTATTATTATTATTATTATTATTATTATATTCAATCTATAACGTAATATTAAAATAGACACTAGGAAGAAATTGACTTTAGAAATAACACGTGTCACAATTTGGTACTGTTATTTCCTGTAAGTTTTTTTTCCACGGTGATACAACTACTTATTGTAAAATATACTAAAAATATTCACCAAATCATTCACTTAAACAAAATATATACGTAGTATTTGTGATTCAATATTTTCCATAAAATACTATTCTAACGTCTATTACTTTGTATATATATGGATTATATATTATTTCCTAATCCTTATGCAGGATTTTATTCCTTCAAATCTTCAATATATTATATATGCAGTAATTTTGTAACAAAAAAAAATGCGTTTTAGAAATAATTGATTATTACTATTACTAGTATTCTCTAAGCCTTCTTTTGTTATTCATATATTCTCTATTTAGAAATTTCAAAATGTTTTAATTTCTTATTAGGAAATAGCTTCCTAATAGCATAATTTATTTTTTTTACAATATCAATCTTATTTAGTTATTTGATTTATTTTTAACTTTTAGTTATTTATGTATATCAAAAGCACGACAAATTAGGTCTGTTTTCCACTATCCTAAAGTGTATCAAATACACTGTAGTAATTATTTATGTTACAATCCCATGGTGTTTAATATACAATTTGAAGATACTTAATTATTTAATTAATAAAAAGAAAAACGATATCAATTTATCATTAAAATTTTTAACCTATCTGTCTAATTACTCCGTCGTCATTATATTTTATGTTTCATTTCATTATATACATAAAAAAATACTATGGTTGTATTTTTGTTCACATGCATTATACAAAATATTTTATTTTTGTTTTTTAAAATTTTTGTGTTGAATTATAAACAATAGTGAAATTAATACCGTGCATGACACGAAACCTAATATAGTTCAATATGACAATGGAGTTTTGTCTCCATTAAATAGGACAATGGCAAGCCTTTCACTCTATTCTGTGCTATGAATTGGACATAAGTACAATGTAACTTGATAATATAAAATTGAAATTAAAAAAAAGAAGTTATAATTAAGGTGTTAATCCTCATATTTATGTCCCATAATTATCTACAAAATGGTCACGGCCAAATACCTAATGGTAGGCGTTAGGAATACCTTGTCCTTGGTCTAGTAGATTAGTAGTGATAACTGATAAGTATTGTTATCTCACAAAATGACAAGAGTCACAATTTTAAAGTTGTGAAACTAAGGCTTATCAGAGGTAATTCGGAGTGAAAATTCTCTTATTCTTTCTTTCCCCGTCCAAGAAGCCTTACTCGTGTACTTGGATTAGATTGACTTTTAAGAACCTTAAGTTAAATACCTATGGGTTGACTTTTAAAACCTTAAGTTTGATACCTAAAAAAAAAAAAAACTTAATAGAAGGAGTAGAATAGAACATCACCTTAATGACACACAAATACGGAGTAATATTGGTTTAACCTTTGTGTATACGGATTAAAAAGGGATAAGAGTGTAGAATACATAATGGGGCCCTCTCTAATTCATTCATTTCATGTGTTAATCCATTTTGAAAACTTCGTTCTTTTCCCTTCTCTATCAGTCAATTACAGCATCTGGTCATCTGGAAACATCATACACTGTTTGTTTAAAGCTGGTAACTTGTGGGTTTCTTCTTCATTTCATCATTTTATCCAATTCCCAACTGTTTGGACAACCTCTAATATGAAAGAAAAACTATAACAATTTTCAAAAAAGGATTTCATCTTCTTAAAGATTTCCTTTAATCTTCGAGCAAGAAATCATGAAATCTACAGCAGCCATTTTCTGCATAATCTTGGTCATTATCCTTGTTCCTTTGTCTCAATCTCTTCCCTTTATTGTACTCCATGGTACGGCTCTCTCTCTAAGTTTATACAATATTTTGATTTTCATTTTTCATATGTATATGCAATTTTCAGTACATTTTTTGGTTATAATTGTTAATATTGACTTTTATTATCAATTGTTTGAATACCCTTTTGCTTGAACTTAGTTTATTCTTTTGATTATGCAAGCTGAGGTGAGGAATTGAGTTTTTAATGTCATATTTTAGGTTTTGGTTGTACTGTTGATTAGAAAGAATATGCAAGATTTGTTCAGGGTTTGATGTCAGAATTTAGGTTTTTGGTTGCAACATACTGTGTATAATTAAGGGTATGAGTGAATTGTGATTAGGGAGAAAGAGAGGGCAAATTTTATGTTACATGTGGCTGGGTGAATGATAATACAGGGTGATTGGTAAGATTTGGGAGGATTGTTAATTCCGCCCTGCAGCGGCGGAGCAACCGGCTTGGTGAACTATTATGCAATTTGAGAACTGAAGTCCGTGACCAGACTAATCAACTAATGGTGTATGGGACTAACCGAATTACGGAGTTGAAAATCAATATGGGATGAATGCCTATGGAGTATTAAAAAAGAAGTGGCATTCCATTGTGATGGTTTTTAATTGGAATATTGATATTGTTGTCAGTACGTAGCCAATGTAGGGGATGAGATTGGTGTCAGTGCTTCATTTGGGTTTTATTGCTTTGATAGGTGTGTGATTGAAAGTATATCTGTGTATGAGTTGCTTCTTGGTAAAGAAGAACTTGTAGAAGAAAGAAAACAGGAAAAGAGGTCTGTAACTCCTGTAAGATACATTCTGTCCTATTTGGTCAATGTATAATGCATGAAGGTTACTATGCAGAATGTCCCTAAATGTTTGGTTGAGTATTGAATTTATCTGTATTCAACCTATGGAAAGTAGTCATGGGACCCCGAGGGGAGGGGGTGGTGGTTGTGGAGCAGAGATTATAAGTTTTAGGTGAAATGTAATATTTTTCATCCAATAGATTAATATTGTGGAGCATTTCATACTTGGGGCACCCATTTCAGTTTCTTCAGAAATTTGGTGTTAATTTTGAAAGTACATGGTGACCTTACATAGTAACTGAAGCTTAAGATCTTACATGGCCCTTTAATTGCTTTTAATATGTGTTCATCTCTCTATTCTTGAGAGTTTAGAGTAATGTAATTCTTGTAGTAAATGCTGGCGTGTGTAAAAATGTTTCATTCTTTTGCCCTCTTTGGTTGCAAAACATAAATTTGTCAGCAACCGAAGCATGAAAGTGTCTGGAAGGGAAAATTTTAGAGGATATATGGATATCATCAGCTCTCATACTTTCTATAATTACATCAAAATGTTAAGTAACAAGACATACATTTATACATTTATATACTACTTTATATAATATATTAATGTCTCAGAATAGCTGACTCTTCAGTACCTTCATTTTACCATTGGTGATGTCATCCAAGTCATGTCTTGCCTAATCATTATAGTTTACACTCTTACAGTATCTGTTTTATTTTTTATTTTTTAGATTCATTTGTGGTATTGTGGTATGAATTTTATGTTCTGGTTGCTTGCTCAGTTTAGATGATGTATCTTGTAGGAATTGGAGATCAATGCAAAAACCGTGGAATGAAGCAGTTTACTAAGCTCTTGAGTGAGTGGTCAGAATCAGAAGGATATTGTGTGTATGCTCTCTCTCTTTCTCGGCTTATTTTGTATTCTGAACTTTGGCCTGTTTGACTACTTGCCATCTTACTTATGGTTATTTTTTTTTTCTTCTCCTGTCATGTCAAATTATGCCTGCTAGTCTGCTACTCTATCTGGTACCAAATTGCATTGAATTTTTCTCATTTAGGATTTTGGAAGTTATGCAACAAATGAGATTGTTCTTTGGAAACTCAACCATTTTTTGATTTCATACAGGAATAATGTTACTTTTTGTTAATTAGTTGATATGTGCTGTGCACCTATCATATTTGATTGGAAATACTGAATTTGATCCCTGGATAATAAGGTTAGGGAAAGAGGAATAAAATCAGGAGCTAGCTGTATTTCCCGACTCTGGTTGTAGATACTAGATAGTGAAAAGCATGAGAATGCTTTTAAGATATTACTGCAGTAAACGGACTGATTTGATAAGCTCTATGTGTGGAGTGTGGACATAGCTCTTACAATGGGAGTATGGCTCTGAGAGGGTCAAAGGAATACTGTGACTGTGTCTTCCTTTTTATCTATGCTTAAATTCTCTTCAAGTCCTCAATTTTTTCCTGAAATTGGTGTCATTGTCATATTTTGGTGTCGAGCTCAATTGTACTTGTAACGTATAGTAAAGGTCTAGCCAATACATATGGCTGTCTTCATGGCCATTTTCTCTGTTGATCCCTCTTGTTGTCAGTCTATTTGACAATAATGACACACGCACTGCAGTCCTCATTTTTTTCAAGTAGTGGGTGTGTGTACTGATCCATCCCTGTTATTGTCTTTTGCTCAGCGAAATTGGTAATGGATCCTGGTTTTCCTGGTTTAATCCTCTTGAGGATCAGGTACAGTGAAACTGAAGCTTAAAAGCATTTAAATTATATTTTTCTTTGACTCAACCATATTCTAAATTAGATCTGTTTTTGCCTTGCAGACACAAATTGTTTGTGACAAGGTGGGAAAGCTGTTGGCACTTGGCAGTATCATATGTAGGTTTAAAAGGTTTTAAAATTGACTTTCTGACTAACTTGTTATTGATCAATAGGTGAAGAAAATGAAAGAATTGAGTCATGGTTACAACATAGTTGGACTGTCCCAGGTAATTTCATGTATTCTGCTGCCACTCTTGTACTGATTTGCTAAAGTTGCTGAATTATGGAATCATGCATTATGTTTTTATTGCTCCCAAGATGAATCTAAGATACTGTATCTCTGTTCTAGTTTGACCTAAAAAGGAAGACTATGCAAATTTGATCTATGATATTTTTCTAATGTATAACAGTGTTGAACATCAGCTTTCAGATATTTCTTTCTGAGACACTTGTACTTTTTGTTGTAGGGCAACTTGATTGGGCGAGGTGTTGTGGAATTTTGTGAAGGAGGGCCACCGGTAAGAGTTAGGATTAGAAAATAATAAATTAAGAGCTTTCAAATGTTTCCACTTTTCTGCTATCAGCTTTCAAAATTATCATGATTTTATTAAGTTTGACTACTTTTTTATTCATTATATGACATATATCATATGATTTTGTAAAACAAAAAACCGAAAACCACAGCAATGCCAAACGAACTCTAAGGTTTTTTATTTTGGTTTATTACTTACCTAGCACATCTTGCATCAGAAGTTTCTGTTCATCTTCAACCTGTTCAAAATTTCAATTATGCTCTCTAAGCTATGATTTCATGCAACCATGGTGCCTATGATTGTCATGTACTTCCTCACGTATGGTTCTGCCCCTGAAATTAGTACTAAATATTCCAAGCTGATGCTTGAAACAGGTTAGGAACTTTGTCTCATTGGGGGGGCCTCATGCTGGCATTGCTTCTGTTCCTCTTTGTGGTGTAAGTTTATTTGTCTCTTCCTCCTTTTATCCTTGAATTGGATTGCATCTATGGAGTTGCTTGCTTGTTTATTACTGTATGAGTTATGTAATTTGTATAAATCCCTTACTAAAGTAAGATGCATTTGTTTGCAGGCTGGTTTTTTCTGCGAGCTTGCAGACGTGCTTATCAAATCTGAGATTTACTCGGATTATGTTCAGGTCAAAACTGTTATTAAATTGCATTAACATGTTATTTCTGTTCAAAGTTATGTATTTTCATTTATGCTTCTAATTACAGTCTTCATAAACTGAGCTTGAATATTCTTGACTGGAAAATTTTGTGGATTTTCAGGCTCATTTGGCTCCCAGTGGTTATCTTAAAATCCCAAATGTAAGTGTAGTTCCAATATCTATCTCTTCAGTTGTATCTTACTTCTTTTGGTCGATTTGACCCAATGCATCAGGCCTACAAAAGGGTGTATGTATGCAGATAAATTTGTAATTGGGATGGGAACACGGCCACACCCCAATTAAGGCTGCCCAATGCCCCAAACTTGGCCTATATAAGGTTAAGAAAGGGTCATGTTTAATCAGTGGCACTTGTTTACAGAAGTTTTTTAGTGGAACCTTGTGAATCATGCCTCTCTCTCTCTCTCTCCATAATGTTCCCTTCGCTGCCAATTTATGCATCATCTAATCATTGCTGTCTCTGTTTTTCCAGAACATGGATGGCTACTTAGAAAAGTGTAGGTTTCTCCCAAAACTTAACAATGAAATTCCCGAGGAGAGAAATTCAACTTACAAGGAACGTTTCAGCAGCCTAGAAAATTTGGTGCTGATTATGGTAAGTTAAAATACTTTGAAATTTCTTGATATTTTTGCTGTATTTTTTGTTGATTGCAGTAATTAACGTGCAGCAATTTACTTACATTTTTTGCCATTTCAGTTTGAGCATGACACGGTTTTGGTACCTAAAGAAACCTCTTGGTTTGGATACTATCCAGATGGCGCTTTTAGCCCTTTGCTAGCACCTCAAGAGGTATGTTTCTCTGACACAATTAGTCATCTAGCTCAAATAAGCATACAAGCATCAAGAGTTGCCTTGTATATATTGGAAACCTGACTATCAATTGGCTTCATTGATAGTGTAATCTTTGCTAATTACCATCTTTATTTCTGTATTCTAATGCTTCATCCCTTCAAAACAGGCTTATTGGACTCCTGAGGTCTTGTACGTTTTGACTATTTTTTTTTTTCTGTCATGTAACATGAAATTTATGTAATTACATATCTGTGAAGGTGTCTTGCCAAGAAAATCTAGCGATATTACATGCACTTAATAAAAAAAATTTTATAGAAATTATTGGTCAATGAAATTCTTACTGACTAGGCTCCTTACAGTGGTGGAAGATATATGTTGTATATATTGGCATGTATGTAAACCTTGTGCTTGCCTGGCATAGACATGATAACATTTAAGGAGAATTTGAATCAGCACCATAATAATTATCTAGAAGGTTTAACTCCTTGTGCAGCCAAAGTACAGCAGTTGTTAGAAGGATCACTGAGCCAACTACAATAATGACCAGTGACGGCTGCCAATAATAAGTGTAATCTTTGGAAGAAACCTGCATGCCCTTTTCCTATTCATGAATGTACTGGATATCAATAAATTTTGTGATGGAAAATTTATGGTGGTTCATTACCAGATTAGCTATGTTACATGCTGTTCAACTCTTTATTGTACCCTGTGGTCTCTTTCAATAAATTTTGTGATGGAAATTGTCTTAACTCCTGTACTGGAGTTTCCACCAGCTGTTCTTCAGTCTGATTTTATATATCATATTGCTGTATGTAATTTTTATACATCAGTAGTTTGACATACTTCTACTTTCGTGGGTGTGTGTGTGTTGCAGACAAAGCTTTACATTGAAGATTGGATTGGTTTAAAAGCCCTTGATGTTGCTGGTAGAGTTAAGTTTGTTAGTGTGGCTGGGAATCATCTTGGAATCTCACACGAAGACATGAAAAAACACATTGTTCCCTACTTGAAGAGTCAAGACGAGAAGTTAAACAATTATAATTTCAAGATTGCGCGTGGATTGCTGACTCTCAATCATGAGAGTTGAGGATGAAGTATGCATCCATATACAGCTGTGGCCATTGTTAATCACTGATTTCTGTAAATTGCTGGTGGGGATTTTGCAGGATCAGTGAATTCATGTGATTATTATAGACCACGGTCCTTGGTTCATAAGTATGACTCAATTCCTTTACCAATGGATTGCAATATTCTGTGTATAACTATTGAAACTATACATATCATTTAACTCCTTTAGGCCAGAAATTTCCTAATCAGTTGTTAGCTAAGTCTCTTAATACATGAGAAAACTGAATACTGTCTTCTTTTACGGAGTAATCAACAAGATATATACAGTAGTAATTATGTATACAACGTATTCCATACTCAGTATTAGCTAACCCTTTTTACTACATTGTTTTTTTCGAATTGGCTATGAATCTAGTCAAGTGTTTTACATGAACAAGGTGAATATCTACCCAAAGTTAATTTGCCATGTGCTTGAACCGTGTAAGCACATGGGCCAACAAATGATCTTAATTGTAGTGTAAGGTACAACTACATATACTGATATACTCTACTTTTACACAACCTTCTACATATACTTTGTTTTTATTTGCTACGTTTGCATTTTGAAAGACATAAGACAACTCTGGCTTTATGTGAACAATGATGATCACTGGGTTAAAGTGCCAAAACTTACATGTTTACATCTCTTAATGTTTGCCAGGAGGTTTCATATTTTTAGGGGGGGTTGTTTTATTAACTTTTATTTTGTCAAGGGAAGCTCTATAAGAAATTAATGATGGTCTTTATAGAACCATTGAGAAATTTTTAGACTACCCAAGGTCATCCCCATTCTTGAGTTGTGGCCGAGTTGCAAATCATGAAGGTTGGTCACGAACGATACTTGGTTGGATCAGTTGGCCATAAGGACGGTATTAAATATTGGTAAATAAGTATGGCTGCACCACAAGATTTCAGATATTCAAGTTGAAAACCATAATGGGTAGGTAAGGAAATTCAAAGCTTGAGCAACAGAACAATCTCCAGTTCAAGCTCCTATGGAGGTGAAGGTATCTCTTGTCCGTTGCTTTGCAAAATGCATATAATAAACTGATGGTTCTAATAGAAGTGAAGTGAAAGATATGTGTCTTTACCTATTAATGGAAGAAAGATTGAGGTTTCTGCAATGGTCCATAAATAAATTAGTGAGCTTACACCGCTTATGTGGGTCGAGTAGTTGCCATTGAAGTTTTTACTGCTTGGATCTCCTGCTGTGATTCATTCATTTCACAAACCCACATGCATGTATAGAAAATATATTCAACTTTTGATCTGAACAAATTGACTCTAGGTACATCACATCAAACCATAAACAGGACATGTATTTCCTAATGTTGTGCTTAAATCAGTAAATGCAAGGGACTCAAACAACTGAAATTAATTGCAACTTTTTAATACAGAATGTTACTGCAGAACCAGGGATTATAGAAATGTACAGCAGTTTGCATCATGATCTATAGAGCACAAGCATGAAAGAATTTTAGACACGAAAAACATGCACTTGTTTCAGCTGTCACACAGTTGGGGCATAACAAAGTTATTTACACGAATTAGATACTGAATTAATTAGATCCCCATATTTGTCAAGACCTTGTCATATTACTATCCCTGGCACCTCCAAAAAAGCAAATATAGGAAGAAGAATAGAGGTAAAAAAAAAAAAAAAAACAGCAGAAACAGGAGTAATATGAACTTACTAACTTGGAATTTTGTACTTCTGCCATGCAAACTTAAAAGTTAAAGCTAATTTCTTAAGCAAATAAATTACAAATAAGGAAATGAAAGTCGCTGCTAATCCTGACTAGCCTTAATATTTTTGAAGCAACTTATGATATCATCATCGAGAACTTCAGAAAAGACCTCTCTCTCAACATAAGTGGTCAAGGAATCATATAACTGTTGGCTACCTACACTGTTCAGCAGCTTAAACTTTACATGGTTTATACCAGAAATTGTTCTCTCGATGCTTGGAGTTGCCGAGAATCAACATTAACTTCACAAGCAAATAGACAGCCCAGTACACATCGTGCTTCCTTGTTTCCACAAGTTTCACTGAAAGCTCCCCGATGTCCTTCAAATTCCTGAATCTATTATCACTCCTCATGTCGGAGATAAAGTTTTCAAGTTGATACTCAAGGCCCATCAAATCAACAGAGGAAAATTCACTGGGGTAAAACTTGGCGAGTTTGATCAATTTTTGCTTGTCAAAAGAAGAAAAGCAATCAGCTGGGTTCAAGCAAGCCATACATGAAAGCAATTCCATACTCGTCTCATCGAACAAATTGTTAAGCTCTTGAATGCTTTTGTCAATAACACTAACATAAATATTTCCTCGAAAATAATCAAGATTTGTGCCCGGTTTGACAAAACGCTTAAATCTTCCAGATGGATCATAATCAGCAGTCATATCAAGAACTTCAATGTCATTTTTTACACAAAATGAAGAGACTTCATTCTAGAGTTTCTCCCATCCAATATCTGATCTCATTCTTTGAAATTGCTCCTTAACCACAGAAACAAGGATAATGATATTAGCAATACCACGATCCCTACTTTGCAAAGCACGATGTAGCACATCCGTGTACCCTAATATGTTCATCATCAAGTGTGCCACAAAAACAAATTCAAATGATAAAAATGAGTTCAAAAGCCTTTCAGCTTTCACTTGGTATTCTACTTTTGAGATCTCAGCAATCAGGTCAAGGACCTCCAGGATTGTAGGAAACATGGTAACAACATGCAAAAGGGTTTTAAAGTGATCATATTCCCAGCTGTCATAAGGTCTCAAGTAAGCCAAACTCTTGAATCACATCTTTTCTATTCTCAAGCTCACAAGATCTCAGCGCCACTAGAACTTTTTGAGCCTGAGCTTCTTGAAGCATTTCTACTCGTGTACAAGATTCTCTAATCTAATCAGGCTCATCAAATCAGCAAGTCTCATAAATACTGCAATACAATCGGCACACTTTCCAGCAGCATTTACAAGTGTCAAATAAATATGGCGAGAAAAACAATGAAAATAGTATGCAGATTGAGATTCTTTCATTATCATAGTCTTAAGGCCATTAATATCACTATTCAAGTTACCAGCCAAATTATTAGCCCCGTTGTAGCTCTGCCCACGAATCTTACATGGACTCAGTGAATGCTCCTTAAGCAAAGAATCAATGGCATCCTTACATGACTCAGCAGTGAAACCATCAACCCACACAACTCCAAGAAACTGTTCTATTACCATACCCTTCTTATCAACATAACGCAAATAGAGAGACATATGATATACAATTCCATAATTCCTTCACAAACCTTACACTAACCACAATTTTCAACTAATTGGACTAAATTACATACTTTATCCTATTTTATTTCACTTGCAACATATTTGAAGTTTCAGGTTTGCCAATGCACAACTTTGATTATTAATGTCTTAAATTTTTTAGGTAAAAGTTAAAATTTTTGACATTTTGAAAGTATATGCTTATATATATATACATCCGGCAAGATTCCATGTAACCAAATACGATTATACGAAGTATTTTATACCCAAAAATCACAAATGATGATCAAAGAGGTCATTAGTGTAAAAGTCCAAAGGGCACAACTAAAAAAACAATGGAGAAAGTCTAAATTATGCAATCTTAATTCAAAAATCGTAAAAGAAACTGAAGTAATTTACTTTAGAAAATAATATCAGTAATTAACAAGATATAAAGCATAAAACTTTAATTAGAAAATATAAAACACCAAAGTTGAGCAGGGTATTAGGGTTACAAGATTATGATTCAACCTCAAATTATTGCTTTAATTATATAAAAATTGCAGAAAATGATAGTGCAATAGAAAACAAAATACCATGGAAAATGACAAAATACGAAAGAATTGAAAATTAGTGAAATGGAAATGGTGGGTATCACCTGACCTAATCGGGCGGCAGAAATGAAAGGCCAGGAGCAGCGAGCGATTGAACGAATGTGAGAGTAGTTTAAATTTTAGTGTGAGGCTGTGTGACTCTTAAGTAGGACTGTAGGAGTAGGACTCTCGGTGATGAAACTTTATTTCATATTAATGTACGATGTAATTTTGAGGTGTCAAAATTTAACTCAACTGACTTAAATAAAATGTGATTTTTATTTTAATATTAACTTAGATATCCCTACAGTACTTAGAATGAGCAATAAAATAGATGTGCAGATTACAACATTCCAATATATTACTCAGGAGTTTGGACTTATACATCATGTTGGCGTCATTTGGAGACTGGAGCAGTATTCAAATTATCAACAAAAAAATGACAGGAAAATTAAGTTCCCTCTTAATTAACAACTTAGTTACATGCCATATATTACATAACTATTCCCTGGAGAAACCTCATGGTTTGGGTAACGTGATGCTTCAGTTCTACATAACTACCACAGCATACAAGGCCATTTTTTAAAAAAAAAATATGCAAAACTCGACTGGCACGGAGGGTTTTGCAATTGAGTTGAATTAATTAAAAAATTGAGCGTTTTTCGTACGGTATTTTATGTCACCGAGTGTTTCAATGACAAAATTAATGAAGTCAAAGTTAGTTATGCGGATTGTGCACAAAGTCAAAATGTGTCAACTAAAAAGAAATGAAGGATATATAATAGTATATGAAACCATATACATTCACTAGTTGGTCATATAAAAGGTTGTGTCGGCCTCGAGTCAATGACATGCGGCATACAAATAGTTGGACAATTCAAACAAACCAAGCGGACTCCCGGGTTTCATGAGGTCCATGAGGAGATACCTTCAAACCATCTTAATAGTTGGACAATTCAAACAAACCAAGCGGACTCCCGGGTTTCATGAGGTCCATGAGGAGATACCTTCAAAACCATCTTAATAGTTGGACAATTCAAACAAACCAAGCGGACTCCCGGGTTTCATGAGGTCCATGAGGAGATACCTTCAAAACCATCTTAATAGTTGGACAATTCAAACAAACCAAGCGGACTCCCGGGTTTCATGAGGTCCATGAGGAGATACCTTCAAAACCATTTTTTTTTTTTTAATGTAAATATCTTTCAAAATGGGATAACCATTAATTTACTTGATATTTAAGAAATGCAGAGAAAGCTTTACGTTGAAGATTGGAAGGTCAAGTATTCAAGTGTACCAAACCTGGAGAACACCTTGCAACTTCGCCGGATGATGTAAAACTTGAGATTGTATAACACGATTGGCTGACATGTGATGATCAACAAGACAACAACTAACCGAAAATCAAACATATTGAAGGCAAACTGGCAATGTACTAATTGAATAAAAGATCAGGTGGTAGGGATGTCCAAGACCCCAATACAGTTCCAAAAGCAGGCTTCTTTGCATCACCAGGCACAGCAAATTATTCCATCACGATACAAAGTTTTTTTTAGTGAATTACTTTTAACCTTGAACAAATCATATCGATGCTTTTAGATTATAAGCATATACTTCATATTTACTTGCACTATCGCCGCTATGTAATTGCCTAATGGAGCAAGGGTAGAGCTCCTCCTAAAGAGTCCTAACTAAACATTTGACAATTCTAAGAAAAAAAAAAAAGATAATATTTACAAGGGAAAGCAAGGCCAGGCCGAGCTAAACCCACAATTTTTATTAGCCTTCTCGTATTTACCAGGGCAGGAGTTAGAAAACAGGGTATCAAACATCTTTGATTTTGACGCAAATACATGAACATCATCTTAATACACATGGATGTCTACAGTAAGGCTACCACTTATCTGGTCTGCCGTGAAGGTGCAGCTACCCTGCCTTAGAAGCTTCTCCTCAGCAATCTTCTGCTGGGTATGGCAACGTAGCCACAAGCAAGAAAGCCTGGCTAGAGCTGCCTGGCCAGCAACACGTGCCTTGTAAATTACACTCAGATCTGCCAATATCTGACTATCTTCAACACTCTGCTTACTTGGATCATAACCGTCGAGATCGGATTTCGTCACCACCACTACGGAGCAATCATCAAATTCAAACAAGTTGCCCACTGGTGGAAGCCCTGAGCTTCTAATTATCAAATCGTTGCACAATTTTGGGCTACAGCTCTTCACCTTATAATTGTAATAATCCTTGACAGCCTACAATCATCAATCAATGTGCAACACAAATATTAAATTATAACCCAAAACAAATAAGTATATAGTCAGCTAGTATAGAGGGCAATTGAACAAGGCATGTCAACAATAAAGTACCTGCCACTGAATTGAAGCAAGCTGAACCCTTGGTCTGATGGATCTCACGTAGCTATAAGCATCCTCAGGAGTCATTTGCTTGTGCTGAACCTGCACATGAAACATAAAATATGAAGCAAAGGCACAGTAGCAGTATTAAATCAACTCAGGTACTTAATGAAGTAAAGCCCAGACCAGGTAACATAGGACAATTGTGGTGCTGCGGCCTCGACCAGCTTTACAGTGTACATAAGTCATCCACCCGCGACACGCATTTCCTTGGGAAAATGACAAGTAAAGAAGTAAGCACAATTTAAATCACAAGAGTAAGAAAGAACTTTATTAATCAGATATCAGTGTCAGGCACCAGCTACTACTAGTATTAACTTCTACCTAGCACAGGATGTCAATATGATAACAAACATGACTTAAAAGCAAGCACTCTCCAAAATGCCTCAACTATTCAATCCGTCTCCCTCAAAAAAAAAAGATTAAAAAAAATATAAAATAAAAATAAAAAAAAAAAAGAAGAGGGAAAATTTAAAGTAGCCTCCACACCAGCTTTTAGAGCAACACTGAGCAGAAGTAGAGCTGCATATATTTGGGCATCCAGACCGCACAACATGAGCCGTAATCAGTGTTGCAGAACATATGTTCAGCACACAATGCTTTGAATCATGAGTCCAATAGAACAATTCAAAGAATAATATATAATAATATATATGAAAGTCAAGTAAATAAAACAACTTACTATGAATGAAGTCCACAGCTTGGCATATATCATTCATTGAGGGAGCAAAGAGATAGTCTCTAGTAGGAAGCACAAGGTGATAAATGCCATGAGCCTATCATGTTCAACAATACAACAGAGTTAGCAGTAATAAATATTAAGGAGCAGAAATGGCAATGATAAACAAAATGCAGAGGTTTGAAAGAATCAACAACGATATAGAGCATCTGACTCAATGCAAAATCAGGTATTAACTAATATGTCTGACCAATATTAGCAACTGGAAAAAGTAAAACAATAGGTTCGTGCAAAAACTCCATATTCTATCTAGATCTTTCTCATTAAAAAAGTAAATGAAGATAAAAATAACACGCCTTTATTTTTCTTTTCAAATTATTAGAGAGAGCAAAAGCGGCATGCTGACAAAGAGGAAGTTAGAAGAAGGAAAGTGGGAAATGACGTAGAAAGAGAATTGCGAAGAGATAGAATGCGTATGCGGGAGCAGGACATGTGAAAAGTACTTGCATTTAAAAGAGGCAGAAGAAGAGAAATATCTTATTAAGAGCAAGATGTTAATAAAAGGGAACTACACAGATGGAAAATAATTTGAGGGATGAGATAGCATACATAGCTGCGCAAGGGGAGGTCATATATATAAAAAGATAATATTTATAAAAAAAAATTAAAAAATAAAAAAATCAAAATAAGAAAATAATTTGAAGCACATTTCCACAATTAGAAGACCAGGAGTATTTTGAGAACATTTAATATACAAGTTAAAGCATGAACACAGCCACAAATAAATTGCCCCACACTCACATGATAGAGAGATGTAGGAACCAAAGTCTCATAAGGCTCATTTAAAGTGATCACTCCATGTACACCAAGCTCCTTCAATCGCAAAACGTCACTGGGGAATGGAACAGCACCTAGCAACACAAACTGGAGGCACTCAAGTTAGAGATAAGGAAAAGGCCAGCGGCAAAAGAAACATTAAATAAGTATATTTCCTTTCTTTTTCCACATTATGTTTGATAAATGCAGCCATTCAGGTAACGTTGGCACACAGCTGACACTCCTAACAGCACATCAGATCACACAACATTAGGCTATTCTGAAAGCAACAAAGGAAAAAGTAAAACCCACAAAGCCAATTCATACAGGAACTTAACAACTATATTATAATCAGCGTCAAACACCTCAAAACGTCATTGGCAATTCATGTAACACTTTGGTAAATGCAGAGAAGACTAATATCTTCACTTGCTCCAATCAATACCAATCACACTCCTAGCTAGGATGCATATTGTGTCACTATTAAACAATCTAAGGCATTATTATTAATGCCTAGTTTTGTAGTTACAACTTAAAACCGTACTATTGAACTAACAGTTTATTACATGGAAATGATGGCATTACTGCGCAATTATTTACCTTACAAACATTGATTTGGGGGGAAAAACGTTACATCAAACCCAAGTCAATTTGAACAGAAAATGGCAATGTAAATTGTGTTTGGTCATGAACTTCACGCCAAAAAAAAGTATTAGATTGTTTACCGATTGTGAATTGGCAATAACATACAACCAACAAAATTAAAAAGCCCAAAAATGAACAGAAAAATCAATTCATCAAGTTGAATCCAAAATATACAAAGTCAAAATGGTGCTCATCAGCTTCTTTGGAGCTCAAACAAACCAAAACTTAACAAGATTCAAAACATTTGACCCATTTTTCAAGCGATCACAACCTCCCAAACTAGAAGATAAATTCTAATCTCAATTATTCAATCTCAATATCCACAAAAATTACATCCACGACTGGGTAAAATCTGCAACAGGGTCAAATCACACAAAAATTAAAATGAACAAATTGAAATATCAAAAGTGACAATCAATCAGAGCACTAATATTGATCGAAAAATGATCAAATCATCCTTGTTGTTCAAGAAATTTATAAATAAACAAGCAAATTGCACAAAATCAAAGCTTAATCGATCAAAATAAAAATTAAATGTAAATAAGATACCTTATCAATCCGATCCCACCAACGAAACTCAGACTGAACTTTGTTCCTAACAACGTTGTAAACCAAAGTAGGGTAAAAGAGGGCACGAGCACCAGCTCCAATCAACACCCTTTTGGTATCCCAAGCGACGACGTTTGGATCATCTTCAGAAACCCTA